TTTTTGTTTGCTTTCATTTTGTTCTGGTGAAATCATCTGCTCTTCTTGGTTTAAGACCAGGGCTGTGTGCTCACTACCTCAGACCAGGAGTTATCTTCTCACCTTCACCCTTGTCATGGGCACCATGGGCCACAGAGGACGAGGAGAGGCCAGGCTGACGAAGGGCGTGAATCCGACCCCAGGGGTGCAGAAGGACCTTGGGAACAGGCTGGTGTGGAGCAGAAGCTCCCAGCCAGGAGGAGGCACTCTTCTGAGTTGGGGTGGGCATTCCTCTGCTGGGTGGCTTAGGGCGGTCTCCCACACCCCTCCATCCTTCACATGGGCAGAGATCTGGGCTCCAGGCCAAGACACCTGTGCTGATGCTCCCCCACCCCTCTCATATGCAAGCTTACTGGACACGGGACACTTCTGGCTCTCTGGTACGAATCACTCACAATGAACTCAGTTGTACCAAAATGATTCTTAGTGTGAGCCCAATAGGTCCTGTTGTTACTACACCACAGCCCCTTGCAGGGAGCATTTGCTTTCATTTACCATCTGCTAAAGTTTAAATAGCTACAGCAGGTGTTGCTAGCGTGGCTGTGGGGGAAACTCTGTGTGATTCTTGTGACAGGAAAGAGCACCAGGGGCCATACTTCAGGGCCCAGAAGCCCAGGTGCAGGGCTGCTGATGTCATGGATTTGTGGCTGCAGGGACAAACGTCCAGGCACTGAGCTCAGGCTGGGCTTCCTCAGGGCAGACACCAGGCTCCCGAGGAGGCACCCTGCACTGGAGATCTCCCATGTTTGCATTTTTTTCCTTCTCTAGTGACCCACAAATGTCACCTGCGGAGCTTTTTCAGGTTACTGTGAATGTGTGTCACAGCTGATGGCCGAGCCGGAAGATGGCTTCACCTCCTCCCTCCTCCCTTCTCCTCCGTAGACTGGACAAAGAGTAGACTCAGAAGGCACCGCCCAGGGGACAGTTGCATTGTATTCTTCCCTGTTCCCTTCCTGTGCATGCCCAGATCACAAGGCGATCACCCTATGTTCAATCTAGGCCACTCAGCACTATTTATCCTGCCTTCCCTTCCTGTTTGTCTTACACCATCAGTAATGAGCGTGTGGTGCTCCAGTCAGCCGTTAGCTCCCGACAGGCTATGGCTCCACCTGGTCCCAGCTTTCTAGCATAATCTCGGTATTTATCCTTCTTTTTTTGTGTTTTTCATTTTTCTTCATCTCCCACTGCTCTCCCGGCTTCAGACCGTACGCTGTGCAGGTCCTGCATGTCACCTCAAACCCGTCACATTTCTACCAGTGTGACAAGAAGAGAGAGACTCTGCACTTACCAGACATAATTTGGATTACAAAAAGTTTTTGATCCTTAGTAATTCCTTTGGAAACTTATTATAGGGTTATAAAATATGAAGTGGGAAACTGTTCCCTGGGCTTGCATTGGCTCTCATACAGCTCTCTAATATCCTGAGACTTACTGAAAATATGGATTCTACGTGTGTATCATATATGATCTGTAAATATATGATACATGTAACCCAGATATGTATAAAATTTATATATATAGCAAATTGATGTTTAAATGATATAGATTGTCTTATAATGTGTTTAATAGATGGAAAGTATTGTTTTATACAGTTGTACTACATTTATAGCATAGTTTTTAGCTTTTGGGTTTTAAAATAGAATATTTTAATGAAATATTTTTGCTTGTAAAATAATGGGAAAGAGGGCCAGGGATTTAGCTCAGCAGTTCGGTGGCCTGCCTCGCAATCACAAGGACCCAGGTTCCATCCCCGGTACAGAAAAAAAAAAAAATGGGAAGGGAACCAAGAGAGGGAGGGAAGGGAAGGCGGAGGAAGGGGTATAAAATAATCCGGATGTGTTATGTTCAGGTACCAACTCCCTCTGATGAATGCAGTCAGTATGCATAGCAAATGTACTAATAAAAATAAAACTTAAAAAGAAAAGTTTTAAATAAACAAAGCTCACCCCTCTCCTCTCACTTTCTCAGCCTTCTAACAAAATCATATTCAAGAGTTCTCCTTTTCAAAATTTCCATACCTGTTCCTACTTTTTTCTTAGAGCAGTGTCAGTTAACCTTGTCTACACTGCAGTATGCACACACACACACACACACACACACACACACACACACACACACACACACACACACACACACACACACACGCGCGCGCATTGCCTGTGCGTGTGTGCACTGCATGACACACACACTGGTGCAAGTCAGCTGTTATATACGTCTCACACTTTGCTACCAGAGCCAATACCCATACTTTCTGGGCACCTTGGGGGATAGAAGAGAGGAGCTCTCTGGGGGCCAGAGAGGAACAGGGGAAGCAAACCCCATGTCCCAAGCCGCTGTGCCTAGGTGATGGCAGCCCAGCCAGAGGAGGGCGGAGGGGACACAGTGGTGTCCCTGCAGTCACAGGGTCCCTGCTGAGGGCCTGGGTGGAGGGGCAGGAGTGGGTGCAGAGGGTGCCTCCATCCTAGGAATGGCGGAGAGTAACAGGGTGAGCCCAGGATTTCAGTGTTCCCACCATGGCAGGACCCCACAGAGCCTAAGTATGGTCAGTGTCGTGGTCAGGTTGACGGGGGCATCTTCTACATGACAGAGAGTAAACGTAGCACTGTCTCCTTCAGGTTGGTCTCACAATCCTTCTCATTGACTTTAAACTAAAGAAACAGGGGCCTCACATAGCAGTTTGCCCAGAGCGTGTGGAATAAGAGACAGACTGGCACCCTGCATGGCACTGTGTTCACTGGAAACTTCTCAGAAGACTCACAGGGAAGTGAGGTAAGTGCAGCAAAGACAACTGTGTACGGAGAAGGTGAGGAGGCTGGTGATTGTGCACCCAACATCTTTCCAGTGTGCTCACGTGCTTTGTGTGAGCAGTATTATTTATAGGGTAAAAAAATTATTTGCACACAAATTTCCAAATTTAAAACAAAAATGCACATTGCAATGCCAGCAGGCACGTGTTGAGTTCTTGAGTGTAAACTGTCTGGATTGCACAGCACCCCTGTCGAGCACACCAGCTACACGGACAGGACAAGCCCAGCTTCCCCCAGGGTGATCTGGTGGTAGAGCCCGTGCTCTCAATGTCACTAGTCGTCAAAACCACGTAATACCTCAGCCTAGGAAATTAAATTGTGTGAAAATATCGGTTGCACACATTTTATTATCAGCATAATTCAGGAACAACTCTTCATGCAATCATTTCTACGTTAGGGGATCACCTTGGTGAGTAATTTATACCTTCTCTGGAAATGTTAGTTTAATACAGTACTCTGGAAATACCAATTCTAGAATATCATTTTTTGGAAAAAATTCTCTCAATGTTTTAAGATTCAAAGTTTCACCAGCCCTCTTCTTTCAATGATCACACTGTGTGGTCCAAAGAGAATGCACAGCATTGACTGAAGGCACTGGGGCCACTTATGTCTCTATGAGAGCCCTAGACACCATTACCATTAATAGATGGGTTGACGGTCAAATGTGCCTATAATTTATGTGCCTGGTCTAAATATGGCACCCAAAGGAGCATTTCCACTGTAGCCAGGAATGCTTATAACCCTTGACAGTCAAAGACCCACGGTTCAGAAACGATGCTGGTCCCCCTCTCAGAACTCCATGCTATGGGGGGTGTCTTCCTAACAGCTGTAGTCTGGCCTGTCAGGAAGTGTTTGTTTTTTTACCCACACTTTTAGATTCTAGCAAGCGTAGGTCCTGTGTAAATGTCCCACACATTCTTGAGTAACCACAGAGTCACGCAGAGGCCCAAGTCAACATCACACCTAGGCCCAAACATCAGCAAGAACTCAGCAGGGATGTACACATGCCAGTCCTAACTTTTAGTGGGAGGCAAATCGGATTGTTTTGCTTTCGCATATTTATAAAAAAAAATCATTAAGTTCCTCATCTACCCTGTTCTTCTAGCAAGGGGGAACCTATTTTACACCTTAGAGGTATCCAAGTATGCTCCCGTCCTGCTACTCCTGCCCCCAGGGAAGGACTGTAGACACAGCCCAGCACATCTGCTCGTGGGGCTCCTGATTGCAGCCCCCTCAGGGTTACAGTTTTGGAGGTGGTGGAGTGTTTTTATTTTCTGTCTCATTAACTTCACATGCAGTAACTTTGTGTTACTTTTCTTTTTTATCTGAAAACACTCTCACAGCATGCACTTGGAAAACACAAGCTTTCGGTCTACGCAAATGCACAAAGGAAAACTGAATAAAATGACATTCCAAAGCTCCAAAATAACAGTACGCATGTCCCCCTCTGCATACAAACTCCCATTGTCAATCTTGGGAAACTCAGTGAGGAATGACAAGTCTGGTAAGAGACTTTGAAAACTGTTTCAAAGAGAATCCCAAGAATGTGTGTATGAATGTGACCAGAAATTCTACAGTGAATGTTTTTATGGAATCAGTACCCACAGGGCAAGACTCAGTCATATTTCCTCAAGAGAAATATTTTCCATTTTCATCTGGTGGTCAGGAACTACTGGCATTGTTCTCAGGTTTTTTACGACTTTCTGAGTTCTCAAATAGTTCGAAAATAATGTAAAGTACAGATCATTTTAGGTACATGGATCGGCTCACTAAAATTTACAAATCTAAGTCATTTCATGTGCATTATGTTGTGTTTTTCACTCTCTTTTCATATTGAATTAATTCACAAAATGTTTTCCAAGCACTAGCCACTGTGACATTGTGCACAGGCCCAGGCACACACCTGTTTCATAGCTTATGTTTCATACTTTGTCTCCTTTTCCACCTTACTGTAGTGGTGACACACACAGCAAGCCACACGTGCCAAGTCGGAGTGCTCATCCTACGAAGAGGATTGTAGGCAAGGCGCAAGTCATTTGTCTCTATTATAGACATTGTGCCAAAGCACTGCTTTTTTCTTCTCTAACGCCTATGTCAGGGCCTCTGCCCTGGCCTGGAGTCTCGGTCCCCAGTGCTCAGCAGCTTCGCTCCTACCTTGGTAAACGGCCTTGAACCCAGGGGAGCCGATGCTGTCGTCAGACTGCAGGTGCAGCCACATCTGGTTGCTCATGCTCACGATGAGGTCAGGAACACTGGATCCCGTGAGTCTGCGAGGAGAAGAGAGGTTTAGACCTACCAGAGGTGACAGCAAGAACAGTGCCTCCCACCTGGAAGGAGGGCCTGGCTGCTCACACAAAGACCCTCTTCCAAGACTGTATAATTTATGTCAATGCTGCGCGTAAGCCTCAAGATCACTGACATTTTATAGTCCTCATCAGATCACTGCGAATATCTGTTTTATTTTAAAAATCATCTTGTGTGACCGACTGTGCCATTTGCCTGAAGCGAGGGCTTCTCCTCCTGCTGGACTGACCCTGGTAAACTGGGACAGTGCTGGAAAACAGTGACCGCTGCCATAGGACCTCACTGAGATGAGCACCAGAGCTCTACGCTCTCTGGGCGTCACATGTGGGTGGGAAGGGTTCGTCCACAAAGTGCTTGGGCTCCAGTCTGGAATTCTCACACACCTTCCTCAGCACGAAATCTTTTGAAAAAGTCATCCTAGGTCATCACACAGTAAGAGAGTATTGAAAAGAAAAGAAGGGCACCTGCATGGCTGGAACAGATTTATTAAAACGTCCTCTGCATATTAATGTCCAGGTCCAGCCAAATGGAAGATGCAGCGAAGTACGGAGGGCACATTAACAAAACAGTCACAGAGCAGCTGCTGGCAGTCGGTGGAAAGAAACACGAAGTCCCGTGACTGAAACCAAGGCCCTGACGGAAAAGCATGTTGAAATAGAAAAAGTGCAAGAAAGAAGTCAGTTCGCCCAAAATAAATGTCCCTAATCAAGGAGCGAGCGTTGCTTTCAGCACAGTCGTTCCTGGAGTACAGCACACGGTCGGCCGGTCCGTCACTCCGTCCCTGCACCAAGGCCAGTCCTCACCCTGGGCACACAGCATACCGAGCCCTCCAAGGAAGACGACGGCAGGCATTTACCCGAGAGGAGCAGGAGCCCGGGCAGTGCGGACCCAGAGGACAGGCCGCCCAGTGCGGGCTTCCTCCTCACAGCGGGCGATCCTCCACAGACTGCTCTGCACGCGTTTGCCTGTTTGGTATGAAGAGATTTGTTTTCTTTGCACGCACACGTGTTGTTCCGGGGTAATAGACTGAACGCGCACTGACTTCCCATCTCTACGACTTGTACGGAGCCGCCTCACCGAGCCAGGCTGAGAACACCGCCCCGGGCCTCCCAACCTCTGCCCACGCCTTCCTCCCACAGCACGCTGGGCTCGCGGCTTCCTCTCGCCTCTGAACGAGACGCTGTGAACTCACTCACACTACTTTGGCGGCTGCGCAGTACTTCACTTCCACAGATTTCTGTGGGATTTACAAGTAGAGGATGACGGGCCCTCTTGTGGATTTGAAATTTTCACTGAAGGAAATGTAGAAACATATAAAGTAGTCAAACCTTGTACAGGAGACCACAGTCATTCCCGGCCTCCCCAGTGTAAACCCACTCTGGCGAGGACCAGGCTGACACCGCCGACACGATGTCTCTTGTTCAAGTTTCCATCTTGAGCGCGCGTGCACGCTCGTGTGTCTGTGTGTGTGTGTGTGTGTGTGTGTGTGTGTGTGTGTGTGTGTGTGTGTGTGTGTGTGTGTGTGTGTGTGTGCGCGTGCATGTGCACGTGCAGCTCTGCGCAGTCCCACGGCACTGCAGGGCTGTGGGTGCAAGGTGTGCTCAGGCCAGAGCAGTGCTCCATCCAGGGTCCCCAGCCCCTCCCCTCCCTCTGGCCATCCTGCCACCCCCAGTCTGGAACTGAACCTCTTCCTTCCAGTACCATACAGGTGGAGTGGCGGGGCTCTCCCTTCCCCGATTGCGTTCTTCCGCCGGATGCCGGACGTCCCGGTGTTGGTGTCTGCACGGCTGCTCCTCCGTGTTTCCGGGGCGATTGTCCCCTGCTCTAAGTGCTCCGGACTCCCCTCTCCTGGATGACACACACTGCTGCGCAGAATATTTCGGGGCAGGTCTTTCTAGAACATAAGTCTTCCTTCCTCTGACGTAAATATGCAGAAACGCAGCGCTGGGCTGCGAGCTCAGCTTACCTGTAAAGGCGCCCCCAGCTGACTCCCAGGCTGGCCGCAGCGGCTTCCGCAGCCATCCGACGCCTCGGAGCAGCTCCCCTCGCCCTCAGAGAGCATCCAGGGCTGTCATTCCTTCAGCCGCTCCAACACACGCGGCGATGCTCCACCGTGGTTTTAATTTGCATTTAGGTGGTCGCTAATTTTGTTGAACATCTTGTCATGAATTTATTTGCCATCTGTGCACCATCTGAAATGGAGTCTGCTCACGTCTTGGCTACTTTCTAAACGCGTTATTTGAACTCCTTCCTTCCTTCCCCCTCTTCTGTTTCTTTCTTTCTATCTTTTCTTCCTCCCTCCCTCCCTCTTGCCCTCTCTCCCTTTCTCCTTTCTTTACTCCTACATCAAGATCATGTAATGTAGGTTAGACGCTAACCCGCTGTCCAACATGTCAGTTGCAAACTTTTTCTCAGGATCTGTAGGTTGGGTTTTCATCGACTTACTATAGCCTTTCATAGAGTAAAACTCTTGTACTTTAATACAGCTCAATTTATTAATTTTACCTTTCATGAGTTTTGCTGTCAAGATTAAAGATGGTTTGTCTAGATCTCTAAATTTTTCTTCCATATCAATATCTCTTAGCTTGTATTCATTTTGTCTTTTTGTTTTTGAGATAAGGTCTCCCTGGGTAGCCCAGCCTGGCCCTGAATTTGTAGCAATCCTGCTGCCTCAGCCTCCTGAGTGCTGGGATTACAAGTGTACACCTCCATGCCTGGCTTGTTTCTTACTTGTCATCTAAGAGAAGCTTTAACAATACTGTTTTAATTATCTTTCAATTAAATAGCTTCTAATTTCAGGCAGAATTTCTCAATTTCAAAACATTAAGGGATTTTCTAGTTTTTGAAATTATTTCTGGCTCTTTAGGCTTTGATCAAGGGAAATTGCATGCTTTTTATCTTATAATACCAAATGAAGTGATCATTGTTGCTTTAAATACAGTCGATTGTGGCAGAAGACCCACATGCATTAAGGCAGATTTCTTTTTTTTCTATAGACAGGGCAGGGAGGTTTCCTGTACAGAAGATTGTTCTGGCGTCGCACACCTCTGCCGAGTTGTGTGACTGGCACAACATTTTACAGACGCTGTTGAAATATCCACTTGTGACTGTTTCTATTTTGAGTCAGGTTTGCTGATTTTTGTGGTATACGTTTTGAGAGTATATTACTATTAAAAGCGTACACATTTAGTATTGTGTCTGCGTGATTGCAATGACTCCTTTTTATCCCAAGTAAGACCTCTTGCATTCGTGACTGCTGTGTGTACGGCTATGAGAAGCTACAGCCACTTCTGTCGGGCTCATTCTTGAAGGATGACCTGTGTTGTGGCTTTGCGCATGACTGTGTCACATTTGTCTGTTGGAAGAGTGGTAGAGTTGTTTCAGTTTACTGTATCCAATCGGCTTTAACTTTTACTTACAATATAATTACTGATGACCTTCGTTCTTTCTCCATTGATCTATTGTCTCTTAATTGTCCCTTTTGTTTATTCATTGGTTTCATTAGCAGGGCACTTCAAAGGTGACCCCTGTCTATTCACTTCTTTCATTTCTATGGCAACGCCTCCTGTCAACCTTGTATTTGATCCTTCAATAATAGTGTTCTGCTTACGCTGTTTTTAGGATCTTTTTCTTACCCATTTCTAGCAGATTTATTGCAGTGTGCTAGTTGACATTTTTCTTGCATTGAACTGACTGCTTTTCAGAACCACTTAAATCTTTATTTTGATGTCTGTTGGCGCTTTTGGAAAGTTCCTGGTGGTGATCAATTCAAATTTTGTGTATGCTGTTTTCACTGTTTCTTTCAGAACACAGGCACATAGGTATTTTCTATATCTTTGTGCTTTTCTCTCTGCCTCAGCTCAATCTTCCAGTTTAAGCCATATACATTGAGTTAATTTCAATTATTTATTCTTGAATTATTAAATTTCTGGTTCATTCTTGGTTGGAGATTCAGGTTTTAGGCCAAAATTCGCAATCACTTCATCTTTCTTAAGGATGTGAATCTGTGTGAAGGACGAGTTTCCCTCCTGCGTCAGCAGTGACCTTGACACACTCTTCCTCTGTTGTGGATCTTTCAGCTCCGGCCATTGGGTGCTGGGTCTGGACACTTCCCGCGGTTCCGACTGACTGCAGATCTGCACAGGAGATCTCAGGGGCAGAGCTGCGGGCCTTCCTGCCAAGACGAGGTCTTCTCTGCAGTCAGAGCTCCCGTATCCCAGTGGGAGTTTCTCAGGGCCGCCTAGGCCTCCGGTTTTCCTCTCCCTGTAAGCCGCAGGGCAGAGGTGGAGACTTCATGAGCTGATGCCCTGCTTGGAAGGGGGAGCCCCACCACCCTGCTCTCCCAGCACTGGGAAATCCTAGGGACCTGCTCTGTTGGCAGAATTCCCATTTGTGTGTTCTACTTCTAATCCCAGGAAAACTGGGACCGAGCAGGTCCGGGAAGGACCAGAGCCAAGCAGGTTCTAGGCGTTTGCTCCTTGGGACTCAAAGCTCACGCTTAGAGTGGGGCCCCACCTTCCTTAGCTCCCACAGCCACTGCCCCGAGCTGTGGTTTCTGTCTGGGATTCCCTGAAACAAAGCCAGAAAACACCCAGGGGAGAAATGGTTTGCAAATGCGAGAATAAGCTTAGCACATTCTCCTCCCTGTGCTGCCTTTTTTATCTTGTTTAGTTTCTGTCTTCCTCTCCCTCTCTCTCTCTCTCTCTCTCTCTCTCTCTCCCTCTCTCCCTCTCTCTTCCATTCTCTCTCTCTCTCTCTCTCTCTCTCTCTCTCTCTCTCTCTCCCTCCCT